AATATAGTGCTGTAAGTCCCCATGGTCCCTGGTATGGTGCCCTACCTTCAGTTGCTGGTGATCTCTCTACCTATAGAACTGTAAGTCCCCATGGTTCCGTGTATGGTGCCCTACCTTCAGTTGCTGGGGATCTCTGTATATATAGTACTGTAAATCCCCATGGTCCCTGGTATGGTGCCCTACTTTCAGTTGCTGGTGATCTCTCTATATATAGTACTGTAAGTCCCCATGACCCCTGGTATGGTGCCCTACCTTCAGTTCCTGGTGATTTCTATATATACTGAACCGCAAAAGATACGCAAGTTGATTTAGAAATGTGAATATTTCTGAATCTATGGAACAAACAATCTTAACACTACGAAAAAACGACAGACAATTGATTGTTGAAGAAATGAGTCGTGATCTCTGGTGAAAACAACACTCAAGTTTACTGTAAAAGCATATGTTATCACTCCACCCTCACACTCCAAAAATGGCTTCCAAATCTCTAAGGTTTTGAGGTTGAGCAGCTGTCTGTGTCCGTCTACCAATTTCATCCCACACATGCTCTATTGGTGCCATATCCGGGTACAGAGAGGGCCAGGGCAGTACAGCAATGTTGTTCCCTCTGAGGAAGTCCATAGAGACCCGTGCAGTGTGAGGACGAGCATTGTCCTGCTGGAACGTCTGGAGCTGAGGTTGGGCATGGAATAGCGGTACAACGTGGTGTTGAAGGACCTGGTCTCTGTAGACTACAGCAGTCACACGTTGACGAAACACGTGTAAACGTGTTCTGTGGTGGTAGCTGAAGCCACCCCATACCATGAGACTTCCACCTCCCCAGAGGTCAGCTTCCACAACACAACAGTTGGCGTAACGTTCATTACGTCGTGTCCATACACTTTATCGGCCATCGGCGTGGGACAAGTTGAATCTGGACTCGTCAGAAAACAACACTTGTTGCCATTGTTGACGTCGCCAACGCTGGTGTTGTCGCGCCCACTGTAAACGATTTTGGCGGTGACGTTGCGTCAGAATCGGTCCGACGTAAGGACGGCGACATCTCATCCCTGCTGCCCTCAGACGACGACGAACAGTGTCTGCAGAGATGTGACGTTGTGGCCCTTGAATGGTTGCAGCCGTCCGTGTTGTTCGTTGCTGTCGATTACGCAGATGAGTAACCCGGATGTGACGATCTTGCGCTGGCGTTGTTACCCTGGGACGTCCTGAACGTGGTCGGTCTGGAACATTACCGGTTTGACGATACCTTGCGGATAGTCTTGTGATTGTTGTCACGTGACATCTGAAGTGCCTGGCCACTGCAGTTGGTGTGGATCCGGTCTGCAACATTCCAACGGCGATTCCTCGTTGCTGTTCAGTTTGACGTGGCATGTTTTCTCCGCGTTGTCACAGTCAATTTTGTGTTCTATGGTGTTTTTTGAATGACCTGCCTTATAAAGCTTCAAATTGGAGTGAAATGCATGCATTTTGTGTGAAACACAAAAACTTCATGCAAAAAAACACGAAAAACATGAAAATGATTGCGTTTGGGCGATATGGTCAAGAATAAGCGGCAACAACGGCAAAACCATCTTCGAATGCTTGGTTCTATAATGGTATACTTTGTTGTCCTAAAAGGATTTCATTTGGAACGTATGTTTTGAACATAGTAACTTGCGTTTCTTTTGCAGTTCAGTATATATTGGGTGCAATATTTATGTTGATAGAAATATCTGTTTAGATTAGTCTGACATGAATGGCAACAATTACAGCTGGATCAATTCATAATTTATCATAGTTTTCTCCCCTTACACATTATCATAATCTCTTACCTGGTTTTTCTGGTTCCCAACTAACTCTTTTCAAACAGGATGAAATACATTCTTTTTCATCAATTATTAATTAAACAGCAGCAAATGAGTTACATCTACAACTATGCCATTATGAAATACCTTTCTATTATTCAGTTAAATCCATCAATGTGTATGTATTACAGCTCTCTCTTTTTTCATCCATCATTTACACTACACAAAAGCATGAAACAATTTCATTTACATTCATGTCTGCCAATTCTTGTGCTGTTTGGGCAAGGTACTTCACAAAACCTTGGAAGATATTCAACAAATGAAAAAGTTCCAGCTAATCAGTGCGAATGTTTGAAATGATGGAATACTGTAAATTGTTCAATCACTTTTTATCATCATACATGAATTTACAAAGTCCAAACTTTTAAAGTTCAAGTTTTCTGTTCAATGTTTCTATTTTGTCAACCTTTTCCTTGAGTTGCCTCTCCTGTTCATGTAATTTTTGATGGAGTTGTTCTATGTAGGACTGGGGTCAGTGGCTGCTGTATCACTCTTTGCTTCACTGTAATATAAGCATTGTAAAGCATCACTATTATCTCTTCGACCTGACAAACAATAAATATATCTCTGGAATTACAAATATATATCAAGGAGTAGAGGCTAACATCATTTCATATTTTAGACAGTATGGGCAATCAATATTTTTATATGTAAATAACATAGCATAATAAAGTTCAGTTGTATTAAATTCTTTAAAACCATGTCATTAACTTAATACGATCTGACATTCTTACTGTATCTGAGATGGTGACTGTGGTAGATTGCTTATGGGAGGTTCCTGAGCTGGTGACATGCTCTCTGACTCTTAATTAGCAGCATCTGAAATGGATATTTAAACACTAAATATGTGTCAGTTGTTGTAATTAGATTGTCCAGTAATATGTCCTGTATCCCTGAAGTACTAGTCAGCATGCAGTAATTTTGAAAGTACATATTTAAGATTTTTAACAGCATGTGTGTCCTGCATATACATGTACTTGAAATGTTACTTTGATTTGCAGCCAATCAAATTTCACTGATACAGAAAACTGCTTCTTATGATATTCTTGGGAATATAGTGAAAAGATACTGTAAAATCCTTATCACTCCAACGCAAAGGCACACAGCAGTAATCTTTCCTTTTCGAGGTTTTTCAAGGTTGGGTCAACATATTTAAGCCTCGCTTTCGATTTGACCTCGAGGTCGCATTAAGAATGGTCTATATAGCGAAATTATAATAGATTTATGCCATACCTCTGATTTTCCAACACAGTGCGTTTATCTCCATTTTGTCATAACCGCGTTATAACGATTAATAAAAATACATACTGTGTTGGAAAATCAGAGGTATATAACGTGATTATATGCCTCTGAATGACTTTGATTAACCAATCACAATTCAGTATTTACTGAAGGCATGGTAGAATTGTATGTAGACGAGTCCGCGTGGTAAGTGTTGCAACGCTGATGTTAGCAGAGAGATGAGCGTAAATCCAAGGTAGTATTAGTTCCCCCATTCATCTCAACAACCATCCCTTATATACCTGTTATACTGTTTTCGACATTTGCAGCTCCAGCGCCAATCCACGCCTTGCTACGACCATTTAGATCACATAACGCCTGTTTAGAAATTACGGGGAACCCCATATTCGTCACCACTCGCCCCTGTCCGTAACCTTCGCTATTCGGCTTGTCCCGGAATAACACGAGTTGGTCACAAGTGTCTTCCGACGTAGGCAAAACAAAGGGAAGTAGCTCCAACCTACTCTTAACAGGTAAAGTTACATAGCCTAAGTTCAAGATGCGAGTTCAAATCTACACTCAGCGCATGACTAAACTTTTGAGACCCATACTCAGCGCATGACTAAAAGTTAATTAATGTGACACAATTAACAAAAAAACATCATCATAATATTAAACAAATTGCAAATTAGATGACATGATTGGTTCTATGATTTAGGGTATATTAGCATGCTCCAAAAGTCAAACTTTTACTGAAGTAAAGAAGCGTTTTAAAACCGTTTTCAATCATAAAATAATAGTGAAAAACATTAGCATACATCCCTTATAAGTTGAAAACTTCCAATTTTTATGTTTTCATGGTGAATTGTTAAAGCTCTGATTTATGTTACTTTTCGGGCAATAGCCACTTCATTCTTTAAGCCAGATTACCCTCAGATAAAACCATAAGCTTTACAATTGTATCAATAAAATAATTTTAAAACATCTTTTGGGGGGCTATTACTGTACAGTTTTGTTCGACAAATTAAGGGCATATATGTAGGTAGACGTGGCGCCTAACGCAACAATCCAAATTTTACCTCTGATCATGGTTCTTTATTTATTTAACGTGCATTAACTGACTTTGTAAAATACAATGTTCTCCTAAACATTCTGAACTAATGAATCTGAAATTCACGTTGGGTTTCCACTAATAATATCACTTGAATCTGTTTAAGAGGTAACAAACCAAAGGTTTTCATGGCGACCGATGCGCAGCAATTCCAGCTCAAATGGAACGTAATGCTCTTGACTATCTCTAATGAACATTTGGCTCTGTTATCTATATGTAGATGACAATGTGTCTTCTGGTCTCGTCTTGCAAAGAAACATTAAACGTGTTACTGTAACCCTGCCCGATGTTCAGCATTGTGGGTTGAAGGTGTCAGAGTTTGGTAATCATTTTAATATGAGTGGGCATACCCTGACAATGATAACCAGTCATGTGCTTGTGAGTGATTGAGGGAGTGAGTTAAAATTTAAAGTCACTTTGGCAATATCTCAGCCATATCGTGACTAAAACAACATAAAGATTAACAATACTTAAAGATAGAGTATAAAATCCTGTCAACGATGGACAGTAAACCAACTAGAATATCACAGATACAAATGTAAAACAAGCAATTAAATCTAAAACAGTTTAACTATAGAGGACAACACAATATAAAAATAGACTATAGACCACCAACAACTGAAGGTAGATCACCATACTAGGGACTCATGTGCTTGTGATGTAGCCACCTAGAATAATATTAACAAAATACATTATTACATAGCCATAGCTGTTGCTTTGATGATAAACAGATTTAGTGAATCATGACAAATTCTACTGCTGATATGTCCATACACAGCAGTTTATATATTGTATGTATATATCATTTAATCTTTTCGTTTTAGGTTCTCCTCGAGGTGGTCAGGATACACAGGTACCCGTAACACATTCGATTATCAGGACCTTGGCCAGCTACCAACCTGGGAACGTTTCTGTCTTTAACAAATAACACACGCAACCATCTCGATATAATTGAGTCTCCTTTATGTAATTACGCATTCGGAACGTGTTTGTAAATATATAAATTTGGAACGTTCATTGTTTGAAAACATGTCCATGAAATGCAGACACTTGCATTTAATGAAATCTGTATGTGTATTGTAGCTTCTCCACCTCATGGAAGCAAATTTGATGAATGAAATGCAGGAGATGAAAGGTACGTCGTATGATTGGAAGGTGAATAAAAGCGAGAAAGCCTTTTCCATGTCCATGGGAAATAGCTGCCAAAAGTAAAGTCTATTTATTCACATATCATGTGTTTATGAATCACAAAGTGATACCAGGTGTTTGCAAAAAGATCAGCGTATAGTCCCACCCTTCACAAACACATCAAAGTGCAAGTCAAGTGTTTTCCTGAAAAATGTCCGCAAATTTATTTTACACGTCGAAATAAGAACCAAATGTGTTGAAAGCTATTAACATGGTCGAAAAAAAACACTTGCACTGTGATTAGCGGCCTCCATTAAAGGCCATCCGACAGGACCTCATTTGAAAAAATATATAGCTACAATTTGTAATAGTTAAAAAAACACATGATGAAACTGATGATGGAATCTATGTGTACTGGGCCATTAAGCTGAATGTAGTTTGCCAGAAATAGGCTTTGAGGTTTGAATATAGTATATAGATAAATACTTTTAGCTGCTATTAAGCACCATTGATTCTCCCACGTTCCTCGGTTTGCTTCAGAGATGATGATGTCAATGCGGAAGATGATGTCTGGTTCTCCTCAACCCTCGGACAGCAGTGGAATCTGTGAGTACAAGCTGTGATCAGGAACAGTTGTTCAATAATATGGGTGTGTCTGGAGTAAGTTATTCCGACAGAGCATTGTAACTGGTTAATGGAGCTTCTAATCACAATACACATCCGTATTCTTAGTTATGAATTTGATTTTTACCATGGATATTTATATAAATGTGTATGCGATGCTCACAACAATATATATACTTTCAACAAATTCACATATTGGTTGCTTGTAGATGGAATTACATCTTTAGCTTTCGGATCTTCACAGAAGTAAACACTTCAAAGACACAAAGTCGTGCACTATGAAGCCAGTACATACTGTGGCGAATGTCCGGCAGATATATATTAATGACATGAAATTAGCACAAGTATACATTGATGCAGTGGGTCAGCCGTCCCCCTAATAATCTCAGATACAAAATAGGGAAGGCAAAGTTGGTTTAACTGGCTGTTATTGAAAAATCTCCGACTCATACAGAAAATCGACAGAGGCAAAGTAATGTAACCATGGGTTGGTTAAAGATTTAACTGGTGGTTATTTGAGAAATACTACCGACTCATACATTTATGTTACAGAAATATATTGAATGTAATGTGAAAATATCTTGACATCAAGAAGTAACAACTGTGATGGTGTCATTAAAATGTTTGCAATTACTGAGATTTTCATTGTTAAATATTAACAGTACCTTGCCCTCGCTTATGACACTTCCAAACCTACTGTGGTATGATATTTTTCGCCTTCAGTATTTTTCTGCGTTTTTTTAAGTCAGTTCCTAATTAAGGAGGGATGCTTGATACGACTTACATCAATGCAAGGGTATTACACGATAACGCTATGAGGGTACAGGCGACTTACATCAATGCAAGGGTTTTACACGATAAATCTATGAGGGTACAGGCGACTTACATCAATGCAAGGGTATTACACGATACCGCTATGAGGGTACAGGCGACTTACATCAATACAAGGGTATTACACGCTAAAGCAATGAGGGTACAGGCGACTTACATCAATGCAAGGGTATTACACGATAACGCTATGAGGGTACAGGCGACTTACATCAATACAAGGGTATTACACGATAATGCCATGAGGGTACAGGCGACTTACATCAATGCAAGGGTATTACACGATAACGCTATGAGGGTACAGGCGACTTACATCAATACAAGGGTATTACACGATAATGCCATGAGGGTACAGGCGACTTACATCAATACAAGGGTATTACACGATAATGCCATGAGGGTACAGGCCACTTACATCAATACAAGGGTATTACACGATAACGCCATGAGGGTACAGGCGACTTACATCAATACAAGGGTATTACACGATAACGCCATGAGGGTACAGGCGACTTACATCAATACAAGGGTATTACACGATAATGCTATGAGGGTACAGGCGACTTACATCAATGCAAGGGTATTACACGATAACGCTATGAGGGTACAGGCGAGCTAATGACAGAATCAGTCAATGACCTGAACTGTATTCAATATACGTTCATACACAATATGGTTGTAGACAATTGAGCGACAATGTGTATATTCCCTAAACACAGATAGCATGTTTGAATTTGAGGGAGATGACGTTCAGTGGAGAATCTAAGTGACTCTAACTGTAATATGTATTATCTTTCTTGTGATTCGTTGTTCGTTTGTTCTCCCTATTTGAACTCGTGTACTCCAAGTGTGTTTACGGGCAAACATAACTAGTGTGAATGTCTAGTTTCTGACACACACCCTTTGTCTATATATTTCACGTTCCAACCACACTCTCTCTCCAAAGAACACAGAGTTTCTGGATACCGAAGGTAACACTGACATTATAGCATATCGAACACTGGTTGCCATGTAATATTAATAAAGTTGAAGGACATAGTTATGAGGGCAGCAAGTCTTTAAAAAAAATTATAATTTTCTCTCGTGTGTCCTGTCAAGTGTATGTTGAGGCAGACTGGGTGTGTAGTAAGTGCTAACGGTAGACCATTTTTCACTAGAAGCAAAATGTCTACATTTGTACACTGTGGCCGACGTGATTTGAACTTGACATACCATAATTTGTTTCACGAAATACCACTTAATACGCTGTCGCTAGAATGTGTTGTCAGGACGCAGTTGTGTACAGTTCGCCGTCGTATGGTGGGAGTACTGTAGGTAATTCAACATTATTCCAAACCAACACATCGTTTTTATTTCAGCAACATTGTTGTGTCTGGTGCTTCGATCCCTTGATTGTCTGTCCTTGCAGGTGTTTACTGTTGTGTGACATCAGGCAGCAAACACTGACTTTGGTATTCAAATTGTGTGCGACGGGATCTACAATTTGGGTAGAACACACCTGCACCCTTTTTACGTTTTACCTATGGAAGTTAAACAATGATATATAGACAAGTAGACAACTGTATATATATATACATATATATACTGAACCGCAAAAGAAACGCAAGTTTATTTAGAAATGTGAATATTTCTGAATCTGTGGAACAAGCAATCTTAACACTACGAAAAAACAACAGACAAGTGATTGTTGAAGAAATGAGTCATGGTCTCTGGTGAAAACAACACTCAAGTTTACTGTAAAAGCATATGTTGTCACTCCACCCTCACACACCAAAAATGTCACGAAACAGTGTGTCAATCAGTAGCGCGTGTGACCACCATTGGCTGCAATGCAGGCAGCACAACGACGTCTCATCGAGTCAACAAGTGTCTGAAAGAAGGCTTGGGGAATTTGATTCCATTCCCTGACCAATCTGACTTCCAAATCTCTAAGGTTTTGAGGTTGAGCAGCTGTCTGTATCCGTCTACCAATTTCATCCCACACATGCTCGATTGGTGCCATATCCGAGGACAGAGTGGGGCAAGGCAGTACAGCAATGTTGTTCCCTCTGGGGAAGTCCATAGAGACCCGTGCAGTGTGAGGACGAGCATTGTCCTGCTGGAACGTCTGGAGCTGAGGTTGGGCCTGGAAGAGCGGTACAACGTGGTGTTGAAAGACCTGGTCTCTGTAGACTACAGCAGTCACGTTGACGAAACACGTGTAAACGTGTACTGTGGTGGTAGCTGAAGCCACCCCGTACCATGAGTCTTCCACCTCCCCAGAGGTCAGCTTCCACAACACAACAGTTGGCGTAACGTTCATTACGTCGTGTCAATACACTTTATCGGCCGTCGGCGTGGGACAAGTTGAATCTGGACTCATCAGAAAACAACACTTGTTGCCATTGTTGACGTCGCCAACGCTGGTGTTGTCGCGCCCACTGTAAACGATTTTGGCGGTGACGTTGCGTCAGAATCGGTCCGACGTAAGGACGGCGACATCTCATCCCTGCTGCCCTCAGACGACGACGAACAGTGTCTGCAGAGATGTGACGTTGTGGCCCTTGAATGGTTGCAGCTGTCTGTGTTGCTCGTTGCTGTCGGTTACTCGGATGAGTAACCCGGATGTGACGATCTTGCGCTGGCGTTGTTACCCTGGGACGTCCTGAACGTGGTCGGTCTGGAACATTACCGGTTTGACGATACCTTGCGGATAGTCTTGTGATTGTTGTCACGTGAGATCTGAAGTGCCTGGCCACTGCAGTTGGTGTGGATCCGGTCTGCAACATGCCAACGGCGATTCATCGTTGCTGTTCAGTTAGACGTGGCATGTTTTCTCCGCGTTGTCACAGTCAATTTTGTGTTCTATGGTGTTTTTTGAATGACCTGCCTTATAAAGCTTCAAACTGGAGTGAAATGCACGCATTTTTGTGTGAAACACAAAAACTTCATGCAAAAAACACGAAAATCATGAAAATGATTGCGTTTGGGCGATATGGTCAAGAATCAGCGGCAACAACCATCTTCGAATGCTTGGTTCTATAATGGTATACTTTGTTGTCCTAAAAGGAATGCATTTAGAACGTATGTTTTGAAAATAGTAACTGGCGTTTCTTTTGCGGTTCAGTATATATATGTTACAGGGAATGTGTGAAGCCAGGGATTTTACGTAATCCCTGAAGGATTCAGTGATTTCGTTAAATCACTGTGACCCCAAGGGATTTCATGTATTCCCTACAATTTCCAGGGATTCCATGAAATTACTGATTTTAATGGTGTTCCATTACACACATTCCCTGTTAGGATACCAGTGAATGTGTGAAATGAATGTTTGTAGCTTAAAACTTTACTGTTGAGTATCATTTCATCCTTTACTTCTTTGGACAATTTACCGATGACACTTTTGGCTAATTACTACCTTGAGTCGGGGTAACAAGTTAATTATCTCACGGCTTTATTGTTTAGTCTCATTTCATCCCTTAGGTCTTAGAAGTTGAAAACTTTGACTATTTACTGATGACACTAAGTCAAGCTAAGAGAGGGAAATTACCGGACAGCAATCAAATATGAAACACATTTAGTACTGGGCTAAAATCCAGCTAAAAAGGGCGTTCTTTAAATAATCAAGGATGAATCAATGTCAGATCAAATCAAGTAAGCTACCATTCAGTCCCCACCCCCCTCCCCCCAAAAAAAGAAGAAAAAGGAAAAAGTAAGAAAAAAAAGTAACCAATGTGATATCACCTCAGCAAGTGAATCACGATTTATATACTTAATATTTTTAACCAAACCTCAGCTTATATTGACGCCTGGGTGGAGTAGGGTTTACTTACAGATAATAAGTGCAAGAAACTGACTCATGCCGTTGTGCTCGGGTGTACTCTCAAGTTTAAGATTGTAGCGAAAAGATGTAGCTACTACTGGATTCCAGTTAAAACTAAAATGTTACCCGGGAATGAGCCCGTAAAGAATCAAGGCGCTAAACCAACAAACAAAGAAATATGCATCAATTAACATAAGCATTCACACATTCAACATGTTCTCAAATCAACATAAATCAACACTGGGATCTCACTGTGGCAGTACAGAATTGTGTGGCAGTACGAATACACAGGTACCATAATACAAGATCAGTGATGAGACCAATAAAGCCAATGCTGGTAATATTCACCTCG